TATGCCTCCTGAGTGTAGAGATTTTTTTTACATGTAAGACTTTTCTTACAGCCTAGATGTATAGAAGGGGATCAAAATCCAAGGAGCACCTTCAGGCATTCCAGGGGCATAAATTACGCATCTAATTTCCCGAATATCTATCACATTTTTGGAGGCCCGGGAGCACCAGGACAGTGGAAACACCCACAAAATGACCCAATTTTGGAAAGTAAATGCTCCAATGTATTTTCTGAAAAGCATAAGGAGTTTTTTGAAAATGTCATTTTTTACATTAGTTTTTAGAAAATGTAGGAAAGAAATTGAAAATGTATTTTTTACACAAAGTTGTCAATTAAAATATTTTTAATGAACAGCATAGACATACTTAGAGGTACACCCAAAAAACACATTCTGCTAGTCCTCCCGAGTATGGGATACCACATGTGTGAAACTTTTTCACAGCCTAGCCACACAGAGGGGCCCAAAATCCAATGAACACCTTCAGGCTTTCTAGGGTTATAAATTACACATCTAATTTTCTTACAGCCTATCACATTTTTGGAAGACCTGGAGCAATAGGATAGTAGAAACAATTGGGGACACTGGCTCTGCTGACACTGATAATGGTATGGCAGTGATCAGGACACTGGTATAGCAATAATCAGGACACTGGTATGACAGTAATCAGGACGCTGGTATGGCTATGATCAGGACACTGGTGTGGCTATGATTAGGACACTAGTGTGGGGTATGACAATGATCAGGACACTGGTATGGCAGTGATCAGGACACTGGTATGGTGGCAATCAGGACCTTGGTATGGTGTATGGCAGTGATCAGGAATGCTGGTATAGGGTATGGCGGTGATCGGGACACTGGTATGGAACAGTATATGGAGGAAATCAGGACGCTGGTATGAGGTATGGCAGTGATCAGGATGCTGGTATGGGATATGACAGTGATCAGGATGCTGGCATGTATGGTAGTGATCAGGATGTTGATATGGGGTATGGTGGCGATCAGGATGTTGGTATGGCGTGATCAGGACGTTTGTATGAGGTATGGTGATGTTACTGTGAGCACTGGTGACACTGAGGCAGGTGACTGGACACATCAATCACATGGTAGAGGACTAATTTCATACAGGAACATCCACCCACATGGGCACTGCTCTCATCCGGCCATTTATGTGCTATAGCCAAATGGGAAGCAGTTAAATATTAACCCCTTTTGTACCACTTTACCAACGGCTGATCAGTGGCCCGCTTTATTTTACACAGCGGTGTTTATGAATGACATGGATAAATAGCCACTTGGTGGCCGATCTGCCTGGTGATCACTATGTACCCAGCTGTCATAAAAAAAAACTGTCCTGGTAATGAAGGGGTATTACAGGTTGGTACTCAAGTGATTAAAGCCATGCTCCAGACAAAGAGTTAAATACATGGTTAAACATACACTGTATACTGTATGAACTGTTAATGCTGTAAGACTCTGTTTTAATATAGATATCACAGCCAGATAGCGCTGCCAGTTAAGGAAGAAGACTTGGTCATGGACCAACCGCAGGCTGAGAATCGATAATGAAGGAGCAGAAGCAAACTGTTATGGTTGTCCCCTCCTGTAAGTATGTGAACAATTTTAGACCAACAGCACTGCACAAAGCAATAGAGCCCTGATTAGCTCAGCATGTTGTTCTCCCTCCCCCATTCTAAACTCTGCTGTACAGGGGATTACAAAAGGCTGATATAAAGGCAGATTCTGGTACTTATAATAATTGAATGTAAATGTACATTGAATTAAATGTTTAATAAATACAAATGGGTATAATTGTGTCTTTTCATCTCTGTTAGGAGTCCAGCTATAAAACTAGGAATCAGCATGACATAACTTAACTGATAAAAATAAAGTAGAATTCTCTTTTTTGTCATACTTCAAATGTCTTACATTTCAAGATTATGAAATATAGTAATTAGCAGTTTCCCAGGAAATTGCAGACCTGCTGACAGCCATGCAGGCAAGATTGTTCTATGGCATCCAACTGATGTGGACATTTAAATACCAGTCTCATCTTTCAAAGCATTCCACTAGTGTCACAAATACAATGGCTAAGAAAGGAAGGAGATAAGGATAGGGGCTGATATGGCAATTTACAAAGAATGTCTTGGGGCTCATGGCAATGGCTTTTCTTGTCAAGTACGGCATTTGATATTGGAATGGCAATCACAGTGTTTAACAAGAAAAGGTTGCGTCTACCCTGATTTGCCTGAAGTTTAATACGCACTTCATTAGACATGCTGTGTCCAAAGTAACACAGCACAGAGCAAAGCGGGTCCAACTCAGCCTGCCACATGCATTGCTACATTGAAGTCAGCAGGATTCTGATGACCTGCGTTTGACGTGTTCCAAACGTATGTGAAAAACAGGAAAAAACAACTACCTCAACATGCGTCCTTACTGTGCGCTTATTACCATGATTCCGTATGAACTGTATCTTTACTGTAACAATTCTTCATATAGTACACTATTCTCATATTAACAGGAGAGAGAAAGGCTGTATACAAACAGAACTTTTTTATTACCTGCTTTCCCGCCAGCCTATAGCAGATATACTGCTACAGGGCGGCACGGGTGCGCAAAATCCTATATATATATATATATATGATTTTGCATTACCAGGTAGGGGGCCCTCGTGCCCTACCCACACAGCTATTCACAGCCTCAGCTGTCAATCACCGGGTCCCGGCCAGTGATTACTCGCCGGCACCCAGTGATCGCCAAGAATTAACGATGGTGGGAGAGAACTGTATGTAAACAATACAGTTCTCTACCCTGTCAGATCCTGCACACTGCTTTGTATGGCTCTGCATAGCCATACTGATGTGAACTGATCCATTTTTTGGGGGGAAAAAATGTGACTGAACTTATGAAAAAAACGGCACGTCCATGTGAAAGGGGCCTAACTCAAATAACCACTCCAACCAAGATATGCAGAATACCATCTCTGAATGCACAACACGTCGAACCTTGAAGCAGATGGGCTACAGCAGCCGGAGACCACACTAGATGCTACTCCTGTCAGCTAAACAGGAAAAACAGAGGTGGCACAGGCTCACCAAAATTGGACAATAGAAGATTGGAAACTGTTGCCTGGTCTGTTGACTCTCAATTTCAGCTGCTAAATTCAGATGATAGGGTCAGAATTTGGTGTAAACATGAAAACATGGATCCATCCTGTCTTGTATCAATGGTTCAGGCTGGTGGTGGTGTAATGGTGTGGGGGATATTTTCTTGGCACACTCTGGGCCTCTTAATATCAATTGAGCATCGTTTAAACGCCACAGCCTGAGTATTGTTGCATGTACACTACAGTGTACCGATCCTCTGATGGCTCCTTCCAGCAGGATAATGGATTCATGTCACAAAGCTCAAATCATCTCAAACTGGTTTCTTGAACATAACAATGAGTTCACTGTACTCCAATGGCCTCCACAGTCACCAGATCTCAATCCAATAGAGCACCTTTGGGATGTGGTGGAACGGTAGATTCGCATTATGGATGTGCAGCCAACATATCTACAGCAACTACGTGATGCTATCATGTCAATATGGACCGAAATCTCTAAATCTCTGAGGAATGTTTCCAACACCTTGTTGACTCTATGCCACTAAGAATGAAGGCAGTTCTGAAGGCAAAAGGGGGTCCAACCCGGTACTAGCAAGGTGTACCTAATAAAGTGTCCAGTGAGTGTAAATATTAGATGTGTTTTTCTGCTTTTCTGTAGCCTTTAACTCCTATCAGCCCACATTCCGTACAGAAACATCCCTCATTACGATGGTGCTAAGAATATATAAAAAATGTCATCCTTGACAGCTACACATTGTGTAGGGCATCCCTACAACATAGACACTAACTATTCTATAGCCCAAGATAAAAACTAAGAAAGCTAATTAAACTCTTTGCTATAACACAGGAAGCATGCACATGACAGCTCTGAATTTCTAACATGATCAATAAGTATAATGGGTATACATCAAACAGATGTAACAAAAAACTAAATCAGCTGCTACTGAACTACTAATACCCTTCATCCCTCCTGCTTCCTCCTAATAGAAAGAAGGGTGGTTACAATTTACCGTATTTTTTTGCTCCATAAGACGCACCTGACCATAAGACGCACCTAGGTTTTAGAGGCAGAAAACAAGATAAAAAATATTCTATAGACTGCGGACACAGTACAGGAGATGACCAGAGACAGCGGACCGTACAGGAGATGACCAGAGACTGCGGACAGTACAGGGGATGACCAGAGACTACGGACAGTATAGGGGATTACCAAGACACTGCGGACATAGTACAGGGGATAACCAGAGACTGCGGACAGCGCAGGACAGTGATGACCACAGACTGCGGACAGTGCAGGAGATGACCACAGACTGCGGACAGTGAAGGGGGTGACCAAGAGACTGCGGACAGTGCAGGGGATGACCAGAGACTGCGGACAGTGCAGGGGATGACCAGAGACTGCGGACAGTGCAGGGGATGACCAAGAGACTGCGGACACAGTGCAGGGGATGACCAGAGACTGCGGACAGTGCAGGGGATGACCAGAGAGACTGCGGACATAGTACACTGGGGATGACCAGAGACTGCGGACAGTGGGGACAGTGCAGGGGATGACTGCGGACATAGACTGCATGACCAGAGACTGCGGACAGGAGATGACCAGAGACTGAGACAGTGCAGGGGACTGTACAGGAGATGACCAGAGACTGCGGACAGTACAGGGGATGACCAGAGACTGCGGACAGTGCAGGGGATGACCAGAGACTGCGGACATAGCAGGGGATGACCAAGAGACTGCGGACAGTGCAGGGGCTGACCAGAGACTGCGGACAGTGCAGGGGATGACCAGAGACTGCGGACAGTGCAGGGGATGACCAAGAGACTGCGGACAGTGCAGGGGCTGACCAGAGACTGCGGACAGTGCAGGGGATGACCAGAGACTGCGGACAGTGCAGGGGATGACCAAGAGACTGCGGACAGTGCAGGGGCTGACCAGAGACTGCGGACAGTGCAGACTGGGACTGTACAGAGACCAGAGACTGCGGACAGTGCAGGGGCTGACACAGTACAGAGACTGCGGACAGTGCAGGGGCTGACCAGAGACTGCGGACAGTGCAGGGGATGACCAGAGACTGCGGACAGTATAGGGGATGACCAAGAGACTGCGGACATAGTACAGGGGATGACCAGAGACTGCGGGACAGTGCAGACTGGGATGACCAGAGACTGCGGACAGTGCAGGGGATGACCAGAGACTTGCGGCTGACCAAGACTGCGGACAGTGCAGGGGATGACCAAGAGACTGCGGACAGTGCAGGGGCTGACCAGAGATGACCAGAGACTGCGGACAGTGCAGGGGATGACCAAGAGACTGCGGACAGTGCAGGGGCTGACCAGAGACTGCGGACAAGTGACCAGAGACTGCGGACATAGTACAGGGGATGACCAGAGACTGCGGACAGTGCAAGGGATGACCAGAGACTGCGGACAGTGCAGGGGATGACCAGAGACTGCGGACAGTGCAGGAGATGACCAGAGACTGATGACAGTACAGGAGATGACCAGAGACTGCAGACAGTACAGGAAATGACTGCTGACCTTTGGGGAGGGAGGGGGAGCGGGTACCTGAATTTGACAGGTACCCGCTCCCACTTCCGCGGAGTTGTCCTCCCTTTAGAACTACCTTATATGGTATCCCTCATCTATTTGCAGTTTCTGTTCTTCATGTAACTATACTGATAAGAGTGGCATGTTTTATTGGTCATCCGAAGATTAAGCAACGCCTATTGAGATCTGTATAATAGTTCTTGTCTTGATTAAACTTTCAGAGATTTAGCTTGCACACTTCGGTATCTGGAGCTTTATTTCTCCCAGACATGGTTGAGAAAATATTCTAAGACATTTTGGACTACAGACAGGAATTGATCCTTTCAGGGGTGCTGGTCTTTTATTTTTCCTTGGCTAGGTTGTTTTAATAATGTGTTGATGATCCCTGAAAACCCTTCTCTGTAATGAAGCCTATCTTGCTTCTGCCTAGTAAACCACAATTTATTTCCTCCATTAGCTCATCCCCCCACAGCTAATACCTTACGTATCACTCAACTCTTCCTCCTAGATTGTAAGCTCTAATGAGCAGGGCCCTCTGTTTCCTCTTGTACCAAATTGTATTGTAACTGTAATGTCTACCTTCATTTTGTAAAGAGCTGCGCAAACTGTTGGCGCTATATAAATCCTGTATAATAATAATAATAATACTAATGTATTCAATTTGAGATTTATATGTGTCAATAAATTTTGTAAGATCTTTGTAATTGCAATGACAGCATAAGTGGTTTGTTTATTCCTTGTCAGGGCTCCGGGTATGACCAGAGGTGTGTGGACCGACACAGGGAAACACAGACTTCAGGTATAGCATGTAAAACAATATAATTTATTAAGGGCAACATAAACGCAGTGCAACAAACCAAACCCAAAACTAACACAAATACGTACAACAAGGTGCAACAAACCCAAACCTTAACTGATATATATATATATATAAATATGGAGAACAACGTAGTCAGGCGGGCCGGGTCGGTAGCTAATGGGCAGACAAGGTGCAAGGAGTAGGCAGAAGATTGGTCAGGAGTAGCCGAGGTCGGTGCAGGCAGAGTTCAAGCAGAGTCAGGATCAAGAAGAGTCAGGATCAGGCAGGAAGCAGACAGGATGCAGGTACAGGGTCTCATGGGAACAATACACCAAGGCCCTGACTGCAGGTCTGGCCATTCCTTAAATACATCTCCTGCAATCAGCCTCAGGTGATGGCTTGATTGCAGGATTGAGCTTCTGGCTGCTGAGAGCACCCGCTGGCCAGCCCTGGTACTGCAGCCCACAAGGCAGGTGAGTCCCACCACCATTGGCGAGTCCATTCCTGACATTCCTTCTATAGTTGGTGCACATTGAGTGGTTGCTTGGGTCTGAACCAGGCTTTTATTTTATGTTGTTTAGCTTAGTGATATTTCACCAGTCACTCCTCCACTTTTTCATTTGAATTACTTTTTGGGAACCTTGAGGTTTTAACACTGGAGTCGCAGACTTATGACTGGCATCGTTGCCAAACAGCATATCTAGGTCAGTGACTTCACTTTTTTCCACTTCCATTAAGCAATACAGTTAACATGCCAGACCATCCCATCCTGCACATTAGACAATAATGTTTGAACAATAAGGTTGTTTAAATCTCGGTTCGTTTTGATTATACTGTCCTGTTGCCGAGCTGACACAACTAATTTCTAAAATCACCAGCAAACTCCAGAGTGGACAAGAGTCCTGGCAGCTGACTGGATATACCCCTGACATATGTGATGGGGAACAGAAATGAGCTCAGTGATGTGAATCGTGCATCTTCCAGGAAAATAGTCAGATGACTTATATGTTCATTTGTCACTGAGCTGTGAGATGATAATTAGGCAAAGATCAGCTTGTTATACAATCCTCCATAGCAGGCTAAGTTATTAAACTCTGATTTATGTCTGAAGGCTGAAGCGCTTACAAGGCGATCTATCATACTTTTCTAATTAAAAAAAAAAATCAGACAGAAAGGAATTCAAATTCAAGTGCTAATTTAAAGGTGTAATCAAAATATGAAAATGCAGAAGGCTGCAGAAGAGTAGAGTTTTTCTTTTTTTTAAAATACCGGGGACTCAGATTGGTTGTGAGGCATCAAAAACCCAGATACTGCCCTGTAAGGCAGCCTACCCTTTATGACACAGTAAGTATAACTTGTTTAACTGCCTCCCACCTGCAATCTGCATATAAACTTTTCTTAGCTTGATGTCACATGCCAACTATACATCAATATACAGTATATTATCCCTTTGACAGCTATTTAGCCCCACTAAGGATTGAGAGTAGATCTTGATCATGCCATTGCTATGTCAGCTATGATATATTGATAGCATACAGGTTGATGGTTTGGTCCAGAAAAAATTATTTCAGCCTGCAGAGGCTTCTTCAGCTTGTAGATGGTAGAGTGCCCCTGGTTAATGCTGTAACTGTCCGATGCAATCATAGTGTTGAAATGTATTTTAAGAAGTGTTAAAAATGTAAATTATATACATTTTTAGTCCCATGTTTTTGTCTCTCTTACAGCTCAGTTCAATGAAATGCACATTTTGCTCTGTATAAAAGTCTCCTAGAGCATCTACATACTCCCTCTTTATATTCCTGATACTATACTGACTCACAAACGGCAGTTATCTATCTGTAGCTGTTGGTAGCAGTGCTGTTACAGCTAATGAGTCTTGCTAATACAAAATGCACATTGCTAGCAGTACAAGTGTAAATGGTAGCTTAACTTTATTAAAGCCAAACTCTACCCAAGAGAAGCTGTATTAAGAAAGATTAAGACTTTTTTTTCTGTTTAGAATGACGTCTCTTCAATTTTGTAAACATTTTAATCTTACCTTACAAGAAAACGATGGAGACCAACATCAAAACACCTGAAAATAAAGATAAAAATACAATAAGAACAACAAAAAATAAAGGCAATCTATCTGCAATACATACAAAGACAAACATGAGGACTGTAAATGAAACCAAACATTTTCTAAAATACGTTTATTGGCAAACTAAACGAAGGTACATCAAGCTTTCCTGTGACTGTAGCAGATATTTAAAACTCCCACTAATGCTGAAACGTAGTCTGTAAGTCAGATCTAAATTTCTACAAAGTGACTCAAAATCCTCAACAACAAGGATGCCCTTGAAAACAAACAAACAATCAGCTCCTGTAGACGCTGACTCTGCCATACCCTCTCCCACCTCTTGTGCCTTTCTAATGGGCGGCCTCAATATCCTCAAATTTCTTTGATGGGCAGCTTCAGTATCCAACAGTCAAGTGGAGGAGGAGGACCAGGAAGCCAGTTGCATACTACAGAGTCCCTGCTTTAGGGTTTCCTGGGGCAATTTATAGAGAACTGGACCCACTGATCTAGACTGGCACGAGAAAGAGCCCTCCAGTGACATCAGTACTCCCGAAACGTTCCCAACAATCATAGAGAATGTGTGAATTAAAAATCGGTATCAAAAATTATTCACTGTACATAATAAAATAAAATAAACTCCCTGTGTAATGACACTTAAAAGTCTCACTTTCACCCTTGAAATTCCAAAAGTTATATAAACCTTTCCAGTGTCTGCGAAATACCAAAAAATCCACAAAAATCAAAGTCCAAAACAATTATTCATCCAAATTCTGATATAAATTCACTGTGTAACTCCAAAATTGCTGTGTACCTCCAAACAAAGGAAAACTGGATAGTGTATTATCCTCAATAAAACATTAAACAATAATTAAATCATATAATAATGAAATCCAAAAAGAGAAGAAAATATTTTTTGTGCAAATAAAAACACACAAAAACGTGAAAACACTTGTGATAGTGAAGCACTCTGTGTAAAATTCTATATACACATTCCTCTGTGAACACATCTAAGTGGCTGAATCACATACCCTTACCCTAGTTAGATAATAAACCAGCCTTCAAAGATAGTAATCCAGAAAATAGTAATCCAGTGGAACCTCATTCCAATATCCACAGGAATACCTTCAGATCCCAAATTATTCATTCATATACTCCTGCCTTCATTTTCTCCATGTTACTCATAGATAGAAGAAATAACAGCCATTCATAACGCTGCCCCAAATTACCTCACCGACCTGATACCCAAATACCACCCTACCCGTAATCTTCGCTCCTCACAAAACCTCCTACTTTCTAGCTCCCTGGTCTCCACCTCCCACGCTCGACTGCAGGACTTCTCCAGGACTTACTTCATCCTCTGGAACTCACTACCCCAATCCATCAGACTGTCACCTACCCTCCTCACCTTTAGGCGCACCCTGAAAACCCATCTCTTCAGGGAAGCCTACCCTGCCCTCACCTAACAGCCGATCTCCTCCTACCACTCCATCCCCCACAGCCACTTTCTCCTGTACCACTATCCCCTCCCTCCTAGATTGTAAGCTTGAAAGAGCAGGGCCCTTGACCCCCTCGTGTATTGTATTGTTACTGTACTGTCTCATGTACTGTCCCCCACTATAATGTACAGCGCTGAGCAAACCTTTTAGCGCTATATAAATACTGTATAATAATAATATAGTGTAGTATGTTCAATTATAAAAGATCCAGACTTTAATAAATGTGCTTACATTTAAAAATCATAAAAAATGCATGTATTCCCATAACTCCACCTCAAGCAGCTTCCTGGAACGCCAAATGTGGTAAACCTCACTTAAGATGGCCACTCCGCCACTTCCAGTTTTTCATGCAACGTCCAACATCACGTCCCTTAAGGGATCCTTGTTTGTTGTCTCTATCTTTTATGCCATTTGAATGGGTCTCTCCCCTCTGCACTTCATCTGACTCTACTGGAGGTCTGCCATATAGGACATGCGTCTTTCTATATGTTTTTTAGTATATTCTTTTTTTGGACCATTGCTCTTCCTCCTGAATGCTCGTTAAGAGCTGAAACGCGTTGAGGATTCAAGGTCTCAAAATCCATCTGAAGACATTTTTCCATATGGAACGTAATTGACCTATCCTTGAAGCTGTAATATAGTACAGACTGGTCCTCTGTGTGTGGTATGTATAATTTTTAATTTTGTTTAATAAAATTTAGTCATTTTTTTAATCTTAATGGTGTTGCTGTTGTTTGGTACCTAGAGAGTCCCACCCCTCTTCTTCACTCTTTCTTTAGGAAACAGTGAGAAACTTCTCCCCAGCAACAACAAACACAGCAATAAAAAAGTAAATGTTCCAAAAGTAGAAAAACGTTTTGTCTGGAGTTCTTTATGGGAAAAAAAATAAATTTCTCATCTGCGTATAAAGATCCAAATGTTGCAGCTTTTTGCTGGAATATGTTAAAAATCTTTATTGCTTATTATAATTTGGTAATTTCTTTTTAGATCATTTTTTTTTCTACGCTTTCTTTCTTGATTTCCCTTCATTTCTTTCATTAGAGGCCTAATGGGGAGTGAAAGGAAATCTCTTCAAAGTGAGAGAAATCCCTTTTTCACAACGGATACTAGATGTCCTCATTCACTGGAAGATTTTACCTCTAATAAATGTTCCAGAGATAACTGTAAAATGTTATTTTCCATTACTTTATGTCTCCAGGATAAACAGAGAGGGTGACTCTCCCTAGCAGAGACACAGAGAGTGATAAAACTTGATAGGGGTCCTAATCCTTTCACACTCTACCCAAAATATAGTAAAAGAAATTTATGGCTAGAGATGCACTTGATAAACTGATATACGTATAGTTACATAGTTAATCTGGTTGAAAAAAGTCCATGCAGTAAACCAACAGAGAAAACACACACACACACCCACACACATAGAAAACTTCACACTTATACACTATCCTACACCCATAGTTGATCCAGAGGAAGGTAGAAAAAACGCCAATAAAGCATGGTCAAATTTGCTCCAGCAAGAGGCAATTGGATATTCCCTGGATCAACTTTGTCTATAAATATTAATATCCGGTTATATTTTGTGCATTTAGGAAAAATTCCAGGCCTTTCTTAAAACAATCTACTGAGCTGGCCAGAACCAGCTGTTGAGACAATCTATTCCACATTTTCACAGCTCTTACTGTGAGGAAGCCTTTCCATATTTGGAAATTAAATCTCTTTTCCTCCACCCATAAAGAGTCCTTGTCCTCTGTGATGACCTTAAAGTGGTAGTAAAGTCTTGTTCATTATTTTAAAAAAATGGTCCCCTGTACAGGTGTAGGTCATAATGTACTAGAATACACTGCATACTAGTACATTATGACAGACCTGCAGATGGAGCCCTTCAGCACTGCGCTGTCACGGCTCTTGCTGGTCTCCAACGTCTTCCATCTTCGCCCATTTTTCCTTCTGAATTCCCTAACTTCAGCCATTTGAATGGCCTGGCTGTAAATGTGGTTTAAGCTGTGCATGTGCGGCTCAGATCACACTACCTGCTGACCAGGCAGGAACATTTATGACAGAGGAGACGTCTAGAGTCTCTTCTGTTATAGAACCCCTGCCAATCAGTGGATTTTAGATTTCAGGACAACCACTTTAAGGTGAATAACTCTACACCTAGTTCACTATATGGACCACTGATGTATTTATACATGTTGATCATATCCCCCCTTAATCTCCTCTTCTCAAGAGACAATACGTTAATTTCTGCACTTTCTCCAGTTCCCCAATGTTCTTTTTGTGAATTGGTGCCTAAAACTGAACTGCATATTCCAGATGAGGTCTTACTAATGATTTGTACTGGGGTAACATGATATCTCTCTCTCTGGAGTCTATACCTCTTTTAATACAAGAGAGGATTTTGCTCTGTTTGGAAACTGCAGCTTGGCATTGCATGCCATTATTAAGCTAGAGATCTACCAGAACTCCCAGATCCTTCTGCACCATTGATGGAGATACTATCACCATTTGAAAATACTGACCCATGTATGACCACTCTGTTCCAAAAGGGCCGCCATCTTTATATATTAAATGCTAGGGTAGTGGCACATACAGTGGTACATATTCTATTAGTCCTGATTGGACAATCCAATAGATATGACATCTGTCTTGCATACAAGCTCAAAAACATAGGGAAATTCAGGGAATTCAATAAAGCACTTGTGCCCATTTTCCAGCAGTAATGGCCTGCACAAGATTCAAAAAGCCCTGCTGCCTGTTTGGGCAGTTTAGCTTTAGTGACATGTGGCAAGTTCAAGTAATTCTTAATAACACCACCTTTACAAAGTGGAGCTATAGCTACAATAAATAAAAAAAAGAAAAAAGATGACAAAACTGGAGGTAATCAAGACCAACTCAAATTTGGTGTACAGAGACAGGAAGATTACCTGTCTCTGCACAAAGTGCAGCAGAGCGGCATGTTTGCTGCTGCTACCCTCTCCACCTGTCATCATTTGTCAAGATCACTGTCGGCCTCACAGCAGACAGGTTCCTAGCAACTACTGATGCTGACCGCGGGCAGAGTCTGATGGGAAAGCTGAGGGATTAGTTCTCTATCAGGTCCACTCTCTTTAACAGCAGGCAATGGGGGGATTCTCTAGTCCAGTGATGGCAAACCTATGGCACGCGTGCCAGAGCTGGCACGCAGGGCCATCTCAGTGGGCATGCCAGGAAGAAGAGGAAGATGAGCGCACACGGACCATGCACACTGACCGGCCATCCAGATCTCGTCCACACTGGACCCCCATCAAACTACATCTCCCACATGTCTCTGGGGCCAGGGTGGGTGTGGACGAGAGGAAACGGCTCCTATGCGGATCTGGCACCAGGGGTGATGTAGCCGGGGATGGGCTTGGAAGAGAGGAAGAGGCTCCCACACTGCTCCGGGGCCAGGGGCGATGTGTTCAGCATGGATGGGAATGAGCTGCTGGGTTGGAAGCCACACCGACACTGCCAGAGGTGAGATTAACTGCTTGCAGTGTCATCCACCAGTGCCCAGAAGTGTCACCCATCAGTGCCCAGCAATGTCGCCTGTCAATGCTGCCCAGCAGTGCCACCTGTCAGTGCTGCCCAGCAGTGCCACCTGTCAGTGCCCAGCAGTGTCGCCCATCAGTGCTGCCCATCAGTGCCACCCATCAATGACGCCCAGCAGTGCTGCCGATCAGTGCCGTCTGTCAGTGCCTCCAGTTGGTGCTATCAGTCAGTGCCGCTTATCAGTGCCCATCATTGCTGCATATCAGTGCATCATCAGTGCCTCCTCATCGATGCCCACCAGTGCCGCCTCATCAGTGCTACCTATCTGTGCCACCTCATCAATGCCCATCAGTGCTGCCTATTAGTGCAGCCTCACCAACGCACATCAAAGAAGAAATATTACCTGTTTGCAAAAATTTATAATAGAAGCAAAGAAAGCCTTTTATGTTTTAAATTTTTTGCTCTTTTTTCATTTATAGTGCAAAAAATAAAACACCCAGTGGTGATTAAATACCACCAAAAAAGCTCTATTTGTGTGAAAAAATGAGTGTTGCATGACCGCACAATTGTCATTGTCAAGTGCAACAGCACTGAAAGCTGAAAATTGGTCTGGGCAGGAAGGGGGTAGAAGTGCCCGGTAGGCAAGTGGTTAATTGCAGTGTTGGCACTTTGAAATAAAAAAGTTGGTTTTGTGTTGCAGTTTTGGGCACTCGGGCTCAAAAAGGTTCGCCATCACTGCACTAGTCAATAGTAAGCTGCCTATTGGCTAAGGAATCTGCCCACTGTCTGCTGTCAATCACAAGGAGAGTGGACATGATGGGAAGCTAGTGGCTCAGTTTCTCCATCAGGCTCTGCCAACCCAGTCACAAAACTCCTTGGCTCCTGTTCTGTCTATGCAACAGTTGCAACGGTGGGGAGGAAGCTCCACTGGACATACGGACACGCTGGCCTCAATGCTCCTCCACATGGGGTGCCTTAAATTCACGTAACGTTTTCCAACGGGCATATGAATCTGTTGCCAACACTGACATTTGTCGTGCAGTGGCACAATGGAATTCTAAAGTGTTGAATTGTCTACAATTCTCTTGTTCACTGCTCTGGTTGATATAAATTAGTTACAAATACTGTAGGTCTATTTGTAACCAAGGCTGTTTCTACAGCCCACAGTAACCAGTATATGGTCCTTTGCATTCTCCTAGTGCAGGGTGGCACAAGACCATTGGTTGCTATGGACAGATAGTTATTCACTCCCTATTGACCTGCTGTATGAAACGTGTGTCACTGGTCAAATTTTGGATTACCCATGGAACAGTTCAGCTACTGCGATTTACATTCAAACCTTCATAGCAAAAAAAAAAAAAAAACAACAACTGAGGGATTCATTGGTTGCCATGGGCAATGTGTTCTACCTTCAGAACACTTTGCAGACATCAGGTCCTGTGATAAATAAGACCCGGTATTGTTTTCGTTCACAGTGAGCACAGTGAACATCTACTGTCAGTAAATATTATATTCCAGAGGAATCCAAGTCAATTGATTTTCCACAGTTCGCACATCATCAACAGATTTTCCTTTTATTTACAAAGACCCGGTGAATAAATAATGCAGCCAGGGAAATCAGTAATCTTGTTATCGGTGCCATCCTAACCCAGATACATATCAGGCTTTCGGAGACCATAAAGGTTTATTGAAAATTCAGTTCCTTTTCATCGATTCAGTAATGTCGTCAAATTCCCACCCGGCCAGCATTATGTGAGAATAGAGGAGTCCTCTATACAGATTTGTTTTATCACATTAATAATGGCTCCGATCATTGCCAGAGAGTATTGCCAGCTGAAGCGGCCATGTGTAAAAATCAGTGTAACTCTTGTACTTGATCACTATGGTCTTAACAACATTCAGGCCCATTTATGTCACTTGTCATTTGTTAATCTATGGTATTTTTTGAACAGATTTTATTTTTTAAAATACGTTCAGCACTAAAAAATGTTTAACTCCTTCCCACCTGCCCCACAGTTTTCTTACATAGTTACATAGTTAGTCTGGCTGAAAAAAGACAAAAGTACATCCAGTTCAACCGTAAAATAAAAAAGTTATAATCCTATACCCACAGTTGATTTAGAGGAAGGCAAAAAAAAACCCAGCAAAGCACGATCCAATTTGCTCCTGCTGGGAAAAAAATTCCTTCCTGATCCTCCGAGAGGCAATCGGATATTCCCTGGATCAACTTTACCTATAAATGTTAGTATCCAGTTATATTCTGTGTATCTAAGAAAGAATCCAGGACTTTTTTAAAGCAATCCACTGAGCTGGCCAGAACCAACTATTGAGGAAGTCTATTCCACATTTTCACAGCTCTTACTGTGAAGAAACCTTTCCGTGTTTGGAGATTAAATTTATTTTCCTCCAGACGTAAAGAGTGCCCGCTTGTCCTCTGTGATGACCTCAGGGGGAATAGCTCTACACCGAGTTCACTATATGAACCACTGATATATTTATACATGTTGATCATATCTTAAAAGGTTCTGAACGCCCAGAGGAGGCAGGGGGGATCAGGGATCATGTGACCACTGTGATTGGTTACCACAGTGCCAACATGATTGAGAGCCAGTTCTGCTGGCTATGGATCGGTTTTGGGGACTGAGAGCTATCTTTGACAGCTCAGTCTCTGTGCTGACAGTGTGCATTGAGTGCATTCTCAGCACGGACACATTGGCTGCCCAGTGAGGCATATGTGTTGTGTGTGGGCATTGAAGTTCAACCTTTTCCTGCCACAAATGTGAAACATGGCTGGCAGCAGGTTAAATATGTATTTCTTTTTAATCAAGTAATAATAACATTCAAATTTATCATATTTACAATTTGCAGCCAGATGGTGAGCTCCAAGCTATAGCACCAAGTACAGGAGAGCTGTTTGTACAACTTTGCTGTAAGAGAGACTAAAGCTTAGAAAAGACAAAGCCGACCGGTTTCAGCATTGTATTTAAGTCAATCCATCAATCGACTTGGGTACAAACAGAATCTTGGAGTCTTACATGCGATGATTGCCAATGGCTATGGTTATTAGTAGAGATGAGCGAATTATTCAAAAATTCGGTTCGGCTGATTCGCCGAATTCGCTGAATAAATTCGCTTTGAGCCGAATATATTCGCTGCGAATTTAACTTATAAAAAGGGTGTTTCTAGGCTTCAGAGAGCCTTTATATTAGTGCAGAACACTGTACCTTTAATTTAAATGCCCTTGGAGTCTGCTGGGGAAGAGAAATAATACTGTCAGTCAGTATGACATGCAGATGAGTGCCGTCGATCTTAGAATCACTGCACACTTCACTCATTTGGGCAGTCACGGGGCCAAAACCAGAGTGTGGAGCCACAGTGTGGCGGTGGAGGCAGCAGCAATGGGAGGCCATACAGCACCCTATGACAAAATGGAACCCACCAGCAGTGTGAGGAGACCTGAAAGTGGCACATGGCAGAGTGTGGCGATGGAGACAGCAGCAATGGGAGGCCGTACAGGGACCCATGACACACTCTGCACCTGGCAGCAGCAGCATGAGGAGGCGGTACAGGGGCCCATGACAGATTACGGGCCTGGCAGCAGCATGAGGAGTCGGTACGGGGGCCCATGGCAGATTACGGGCCTGGCAGCAGCATGAGGAGGCAGTACAGGGGCCCATGGCAGAGTGGCGGAGCGTAAGCAGCTAAAATTGAAGGCCATACAGAGGCCTATGTTAAAAAGTCCCCCCAGCAGCAGCGTGGGGAGACGACTATCAAGAGTCCAATGGCAGAGTGGCAGAAAGCAGCAGCTTCAATTGAAGGTCATACACAGGCCTAGGTTTAAAAGTCCCTCACAGTTAATTCCAATAACGAACTCTACTCCTCCGTGCAATCTACTTACGAGACCCTGGGCAGGTCTGGGTCCAATTTGTGGTAGAGACTGGTTTTGTTCAGCCATGCTTGAGCGAGTAATAACAGGTCTGTGCTGCCCTTTGGTGTCTGGCTTAATGCGCACAACACTGAACGTCCCAGCATTTGTCAACGATTTGCCGTTAAGTGATGCAAACCCGCTGAACCACGTTCATGAGGAGCCGGTACAGGGGGCCATGAATCAGTATGGACCTGGCAGCAGCGTGAGCAGACGACAGAGGCACATGGCGCAGGGTGGCGGTGTAGGCAGCATTTTTCTGAAGCCATACACAGGCCTAGGTTAAAAAGCGGAAGCCGTCAGCAGCGTGAGCAGACGACAGAGACACATGGCGCAGGGTGGCGGTGGAGGCAGCAGCAATGGAAGGCCATACAGCACCCTATCACAAAATGGAACCCCACCAACAGTGTAAGGAGACCTGAAAGTGGCACATGGCAGAGTCTGGCGATGAAGTCAGCAGCAATGGGAGGCCGTACAGGGACCCATGACACACTCTGGACCTGGCAGCAGCAAGAGGAGGCGGTACAGGGGCCCATGGCAGAGTGGCGAAGCGTAAGCAGCTTAAATTGAAGGCCATACAGAGGCCTATGTTAAAAAAGTCCCCCCAGCAGCAGTGTGGGGAGACGACTATCAAGAGTCCAATGGCAGAGTGGCGGAGCAGAAGCAGCTTCAATTGAAGGCCATACACAGGCCTAGGTTAAAAAGTCCCCCCCAGCAGCAGTGTGGGGAGACGACTATCAAGAGTCCAATGGCTGAGTGGCGATCCGGGAAGTCAGCGTTGTGATTGCAGATGCAATGCAGAGATTTCTATGAGGTGATGCCGTGGGTGCGAAGAAGATCATATACCGTCGTACTTCCATCCATAAGACGGAACAACCTGCGAACCGGGAGCTTTATTGCCCTGACTCGCTGAGCAGGGTCACACACAGGTCTGTCTCTCTTGAATGACCGGAGGCTAATGGAGAATTCTAAGATGGCCGCGATTTATAGCTCCACCATTACACAGTGCTGGCTGGCTGCTGATTGGCTAATGCGATCACATGTCATGAATGCATTATGGGTCAGCGCGCCTTCCCAGAGATCCCCGCCCCATCTTCTCTGTCCATTTTCTCCGTCGCCACACATGTCGCCGCCATTTTTGGGAAAATTCGATTCGTGCATCCGAAGTTTGCTAATCTTCGGATTCGTCGCGAATAGAATTTTTCCAAATCTTCGGAACGAATTCCACTTCGTCATGTTCGATTCGCTCATCTCTAGTTATTAGCAATAATCAATGTGTTCCCCCAGTGAGGATGGCTCCACAGCTCCCCGTGACACAATCCCCCCCGACAGAACACAAGAGCTCGAGTCATTTTTGCATCATCTATGGCCTGCCTAATGCAGGCCATAGACGGGTCGAAAAAAAAAATCGGCCA